CTTTTTTCTGTCTCGTATTTATACTTGTGTTAATCGACTATTTCAAAAAAGAAATATTCTATTTTGTAAATAGTGAGAAGTTGACGTTTTTCTTCGTATAGAATGTCCATCAAAAATTTGTAAAATACAACACTTCCGTAGTACTCCCGTAATTCAGGTAGTGTTTTCTTCGGTATTATATACCAGGATATAAATTGTTACTGTTTATATATGATCCCCATCAATTTGTTACAGAAGTAACGGTTCAATGTTTAAACATTGATTAAACTAAATCGATGTACATCTAATTGGCATGTTTCGGAAGATAAAGAATCGTCTGTCGAGTATTTACAAAATTCATTCTCTCTGACGTTTTGATATAGAAAGTATAATGCCTTTTTGCAATGAACTTCTGTCTATACCATTGAGAAAGATTTAATAGAGACTCATTTCTAATTATTTGTTTTTTGTTCATTTATTATATGTATATGTATATATTTATAAATAACCTGAAACATCATAAAATATTTCCCTTGATTCCATGTCAGCAAACTGGCGATGTAAAAGTCTAGTCACAAGATGTTAAATAACTTCTTATCAATTACTGATTCTAATAGGGGTCCTCAGTCGTCGAGGTTTTAAAAAATAATATTTTTGGAATAAAAATTAGCCAATCAGAATTTTTTGAATTTTTTATTCGAACGAGCAACTTTTTTCTTGTTCATTCAAAAAAAATAATAAAAAAATGATAAAAAATAAAAAATGACGTCATAATGACGTAAAAATTCCAGTGTAACTGAAATTGAGGTAATGTCAAACAATAAAAAATCATGAGAAAAATGCATTATTAAGTTTCTTTTTCACTACTTTCAACTATTTTTCTTTTAAAAAAAAATAACATTAATTATGCCTCGTCAAAGTACCAAGCAAAGAGAATACAACGCTTACGAAAATAGCTATCGTATGAAAAAAGAACTCACCAGAAAACAAATCGCATTATGGAAAGAACTTGCAAAGAATCCTGCTCTTGATGATGCTGAGAAGGAAGATATTAATGATTTAAATGCTTTTTATCGCCAAAATTTGAAAAATGATGCGGACAAACAAATGCTGGAATATATTAGATCCAAGAGATATGTAGCTAGTAGGGAAAACAAAGTTCCAAAGTTGGTGACCAAAGAAAGAAGGTTGGATTTCCTGTTCAACGAAATTGACGACAGTGGATTTGTTAACGAAGTCAGAATAGACAAAGACTCATTCTTTGCGCTTTTGGAACTGATCCAGGACCATCTATTGTATCAGGATACGCCCCGAAATTGCCAAACAGATATCCGCCTTCAATTGGCTATCGTTTTAGAACGTTTGGGAACATATGGAAACGGTTCTTCAATTGAAAAAATTGCTAGACGATCTGGTGTCAGTGGTATGTAGTCATTATTGCAGTGAAATAATTTGGTATGCAGTAATAAATTAAAATGTATTCTTTTGTCAATAGAGGGCGCAGTTGTAGCTTTTACTACTCGTTTTTTTAAGGTGATTCTGTCAATAGAAGATCAGTTTGTCAGCTGGCCATCACATGAAGAAAAAGTGGTTATCGAAACCATCAACCAATCTTATCTGGGTTTCCCTGACTGTCTTGGGTTTATCGATGGCACACATATTTGTTTGGAGGATGCACCTGTTTGGAGAGAAAACAAATTTTACAACAGAAAGGGTAGTTACTTCATTCAGACAATGGCGATTTGTGACCATAAACGAAGAATCCGGTACGTAGAGACTGGTTACTTTGGAAGTTCCCATGACATGCGTGTACTTGCCGAAAGTGATATCGGAAAAAACCCGTCAAAATATTGTGTTGGAAACGAGTATGTCTTGGGTGACGGAGGATAATCTCCTACAAACTACCTGGTACCTGTGAGCAAGAAGCCAAGAAATGGAACGACAGCCGATTATGACCAGCAGTTCAATACATACATTTCTCAAATGAGAATTAAAATTGAACATGCTTTTGGGATTCTGAAAGCTCGATTCCAAAGTCTGAAGCAATTACAATTGAAGATCAAGTCAAAAGATGATGTCCTTTTTGCCAGTGGATGGATTCGTGTTTGTATTGCTTTGAACAATTTCTTGATCGACCGTGAAAGCGATAGCTTTACCGCTATTTTGGAAAAGCAATTTGCAGAGAAAGAAAGATTGGAACTGCAGCAATTAGAAGATGGAGTTCAATCCTCTTCTGATGAAACCAGCAACAATACCGATGTCACCGAAAGTGGAAAAGAAAAATACCAAGCAATCAAAAACATTGTTTTGGAGGAGATGAAACAAAGAAAAGAAATGAGAAGACGTAGTAGTTAAAAAAAATTTATTAATAAAGTTTATATAATTTAGATATCATCATCATCATTATTATTATTATCACTGAAAATCTCATTTTGCAACTTTCTGATGGCTTCAGTCAACTCATCAAAGCCCCAATTCTTAGCCAAAGCAAAAGCGTTTAACCCATCCAATCTTATCTTGAAAATGGCGGCACGAGTCATGGCATCAAAAAAACGATCTGTTGATTTTTGAAATGCTTTTTCTGCATCTTCCCGGATTGCTTTCGTGGCTGTCGAGGAAATCACCGACTTGCTTCTCTTTCTCTTCTTGTCATTCAAAGAAGAAGATTCCTCTTTTTTGGGTACTTCTACCTGTTTAACATCTCCATCCGAAGAATCAATTGCAAAACTGACCTCTTCGTCATCACTTACAATTACCACCGCAGCTCCCCGTGTACCTGAGAAAGAAAGTTGATAAGCAGAGCCATTAGGGTACGCAGACTTGGTATATCGATCACCCATGATCTCCTTGATACGATAATAATGGGGACAAATTTTGTTCAATGCATCTGTTGAAATGAAACGATGATTTTAATATCTCTATGTGGCTGACAATGTATAATATATATTTTTACTTACTTTCGAATTCCTTCTTTCCAAACTCGCCGGTGTTACCCATTGCACCTTCGCCACTTTGCGTATCCTTCTTATATGCATCACGATAGTTGGACATGATCTTACGAATTCTCGACCGGATGCTAGAACTTGTTGGACATAACACGTTTCGGTCCACAAAGTACTTCACACACCGAGAAAGAACAGCCGCCGGAGTCTCACCATCCTTTCCGTGGTTGGCCCCATCCTTATTGAAGGATTTAGTCGATCCCAAGTACTTGCGCATATTGATCCCTCCGTCTTCAAAGAGGAAATCAATAAGTCTGTCAGCACAGCTAATGTTATCGCTGCAATGCTTATCAATTGCCTCCCAAGGATGGTGATTGGTGACAGCAGCTTTGTCCTTGACCGCGATTAAGGTCATGCCGGTGTTCTTGGCCTCGGTTTCCTTGCTACCAACCTCATTTGTGACCTTGATAAGAACCATAATAAAAATAACATCAGATACACTTACATCATACATCTAACACTAAAATATTAGTATCTTAGCATCAATATTTTATAAAGCAAATACACTTCTTTAGTGTCTACACGTCTTTAACTAAAATAGTGCAAAAAGACACTGCACTAAAATAGTGTACTACCATTATGCAATAATTTTATAATTTGAATTCAGACATCTTATATATATCCTTTATTCTTTGACCTTGATAATCGAAAAATTCTCTTTTAACTGAAATAAAGCATACCAACAGTCCCAAAGTATTCTTACTTTTGTTTTTTTTTCCTTTTTTCTGAATTTCTACTATCCAAAACACCACAGGTCTCTTCTTCATATATAATATCAAAATTCTAAAAGTAAAAATTAAAAAACAAAAACGAAAGTAGCAACAGATTTTAACAGCTCGATAGATGAACTCTATTCCCGTTGACGTACAGCAAAAGCTAAAACAAATTGGTTTGAAAACGATATAGCAATTTTTTTAGACACGACGAAAAGGCTCTTTATGATGAAGTGATGGATAGTGAGATCAAGCGAAGTAATTATAATAACCGGGGGTTTTATTTTGTAATATTAATTCTTCTTACTAGGAGAAAGAGCCGTATCATTTTCTTCACCTCTACAGGTCACTAATAACCTTTTTGAAGATGCTAATCACTTACCCTCTGATACCTCCAATCCTAACACATCGATGACTATCCCATCGGAGGTTACACCCGTCCTTGCATCTACCGTTTCAGCTCTCCCCAAATGCTACCGCCTCGCCATCCTTAACACCATCCTTAACACCAGCCTTCACGCCAGACCTCACGCCTGCTTTCTCCCCTGCTATCACGTCTGCCCCCACGCCTGACCCTACGCCGGCCTGTAAACCTACTACTCTACACACGATGCCACGTTTGTCAATATTTATACTACTGAAACTGTTGATAATAATAGTCGCGCTTGAGATGAGACAGTAGTAACAAAAATCTTTTGCGGTGGTTGTGACCAAAAGAATTGATGATGTGATAGTTGAGGATAGAGATAGATAAAGAAAAACAATAAAATACTTTGAGACTGCTTATAAGTTTTATTAAGAGTAAAAGTAGATTAAAAGATTGAGAGGGCTCTATTCTAACTAGCAGTTTGCATATTTATATATGTTAAGAGAAATCGGATTATGAATTTAGTTTGATGGATAAGTTACACAGTACTAAAATAGTGCTTGTAGTTGGATACGATATAATAAGGTGTTTCAGTTCTTCCCCGCCGGATTTACACATTTTTTTTACACATTCGGTAAAATAATGAAGAACCAATGAAATGCATTTGACATTTTGCAAGAACTGCGCCCCCAAATAAAAAAAAAATTCACACTTTTTAGAAAGACGTTTATTTTTAAAGATCCGAGCCAATGAAGTTGTTCCTGATTTCGTAACTTCATAATGAGTTATAATAGTAACATTGAATACGTTGTAGTTATGACACAAGAAAAGGTTAATTGAACAGGACAGATCACAGCGCAATAACATAGTTGAGTTACGGAGAAAGTTGCTTCTTCTGTTAATGGCGAAAGCGACAGCAAAGATGAGGAAGGTATTGTGCTTCGACAAGAGCATACTCCTGCTTTGTTAGAAGCAAATACTACAGAGGAAAAAGAACAACGAATCGTTATGAGAAGAATTTTGAAAGGGTCTTACCATGAATACAAAAAATTAAAGCATGACATTTCGTGTTTTTAAAACTCAATATGTGTGAAAAAGTGTAAAAAAAAAGTGTGAAACGAAAAAAAAAACTTGACATGGTCAAGAGCTACTACACTTTTTTTTTTACACTTTTTTTTTATGAAAAAATTTCGTGTTTTTGATTGGTTAATTTAAAAGTCAGAATGTGTAAAAAAAAATGTGTAAATCCGGCGGAGAAGAACTGAAACCCCTTAATGTATAAGAAATTAGTTCGTGTCGTGATGTAATAACGTATGGGATGATGAAATGAGATTTGATTTAGTAATGTTTTATGGTGTGATTAGTACCAACAGTAGGTGGATCACCACAGATGATTTTTCCATTGTTGAGGAGGCCATAACGTTTTTTGCTGCAGAACCTCCAGTATCCATTTCTCTCACCACTATTGCACTTCTGGTCACCGATTGTAATTGAGCTTTGCATATGTACGAGAAATCGAAAGGCCAAATATTGGGAGCAATTATTGTTAGGTGGATATCCGCTATCATCTACACTAAAAATATAAAGCTCTGGATGAAGCAGATCAGTTTAGAGCTTGCCAAGACGCCTATTGGAATTCCATAAGTGAACATTCGAAAATAATAATTCTAGGCCGTAGAGGGATAGACGTGCTGAGGATTTTTAAGTTTAGTGGATTAGGACTGCTGTTAAAATACAGTTGTGATAAAATTACCAAGTTCCATAAACATACATGGGCAAAAGAACTCAACTATTTCCAGCAAGATATCCCGATACTGATAAAATTGAAAAGCTGCCCCTTCCATCCCGATTGGATTACGCAAATCCAATCTATTCTTGTCCCATTGGATCTAAATTATACCGAAGAACTCGCTTCTTCCGTAAATGAAGATGATAACGAGCAACATTCACTGTCCTTGAGACGTACAAGTTCCTTTCAGGACTCTGATTCAAAGAGACAAAAATAAAACTATATCTCACAAAGTATTACATAGAATTTCCTTTTTTTTGACATGCTGATGACAAACCATTTCAATTTTTGGCTCATATATGCAATCTGGAGACCTTATTTAGACATATTTTAATCCGATTGAATAAAGAACATTCAAGATAAGGCGTCTATAAACCAAACTTAAAAATCCCCCTTTCCTTTCCACATGTCTCATCTTCCAGATTGAAAGAATAAACCAATAGCTGGCATACATTTTTGTTTCTGGCGGCGTACCGCAAACGTTATGTGAGCCTTAATTTTTTATTCTCTAACCTTTTCATTCCATCTATCAATTCATACGTGATTTTTTTTTCTTTTTGCAAAAAACGTTTTGGCCGAGTAAACAGTTTTATTTTATGCAATAAATCGTAAACTTGGACCCTACTGTAGGGTACAGTGATCAGAAAAACACCTTTTTTCTTGTGAATTCCTCGTATATTCGGTCTTACCACTACTTAAGGACCTTTTGCTCTTATTAGTTTTAGCTCTCTTTTGTCGATTCCTCAAGTTTACGGCCTAGTGACTCTTAACTAATATCACTATCCTATTTTACAATAGCGCTTAACAGAATTTAATCCTTATCTATTCTCATTGGTTCCCGGATTATTCAATTACTTTTAATTTCAATTCAGTGTTTGCTTTCTTATCATAATTGTCATGATCTCTATCATCCAGATATGTACGCCTTTGGAGGCTCATTTACGTTTGAGGGTATAAAAGTGAAACTGTCGGTTCTAACATCCAGGAAATGACAATTCAGTAAACAGGTTAACAGGCGAAAGACCCTTACAATAGGCGGAAGACATTTTATACTTTGTAAAGCTTAAACGGAAATTGCAAATAGATAAAAAGCACGCTTTCACGATTGCATAATTGCCTGATGAACTTGTTTTTGACAGTTGTACGATATTCAATTTTATCCCATACTTGATTTGCAAGATTGAACGACAAGAAAAAAAAAGCAAAAAGATTTGTAACGCAAAAAACTCACGCACATAAAAAGGCAGATCATAACAGGACATGAGGCTGTCTTCTAATAATAAAAGTTTTTTAAATCTTTTTTATCTGAAGCAATGGCAAAAGTAGAAAGACTCTGTTAAGTTAAGTCACCCATGTGTCATTCGTAAATGCCGAAATGCTAATGTACACTACTGCCGTTTGTAACAAGATCTTACATGCTTTGTTCATATGATTGTCATTATTTGGTATTTCTGCTTGGTGTAAACACAACGTTTATTTTTTAACCCATGGCACTTCTTTTACTGTAGCCAATGTATACGCATGCAGGACTTAATGACGTAAAACGACTTTAGTTACATCTCAGTCAAATATCCAGCCTCTTCAACGTTTGCCAAATCAGTTTTGAAGACTAGTTTGTCATCATTCAACAAGAAAACAAGCGACAAGAATCACAAGACACTCGAATTACTTTTCCGTATCTATAGATGACGATGTTCAGCAATATTTCTGCTTTAATTCGACAGAACTAACGTCTCTCTTTTTTATATTGAACCACCTTAATGAGAATAATGGGCACGGCTTAAAAGGCAAACACAACAGACAATAAGACTGGAGGAGCAGCTAAAAATTAAATACACAACAAAAAACTTGATATGAACGAGTTCAAATCAAGTCCAGACGCCGCTCCCATCACAATCTTGGATAAAATCGGAATAAAATAAGAGCTGCCCATACATCGATTAATTACTAACTCACACATACGGTTGAGGCAGATCATTCCAGGTCGATCAAAATGCTATAGATACACTCGCTGAAAATAAAGTACATTTATTTTAAAATGTTATCTGGTAATTTATTATTATAAATTGGTAGTTGGTTTAAAGTGGTTTCTGTAGGAGTTTGTAAAGTTTGTAGTGAGCACCAAATCAAGTTATTAGGTTTGATTATGTTTTTTTATGAGTAGTAAATAAAGTAGACTTTAGGAAGGTGGTAATACTGTTTGAACTTTTACGTCAAGCTGAGTATAAAGATAAGAAATCAATAGCTTAGATTTAGGATGATAGATAAATTATGTCTTCAAAAGTAGAAGAATAATTATATAAGAGTTAAGGGATGGTTTACTTAGACTGTTTGAAGTATGCATGTTTCTTTTATCAGATGTCTACTATACAAGGTCTAATAATTTATAGAACGTTTCTTTTGACAGAGGTTTTCTCATAAATTAGAATAAACAAAATAGGTGGAGGAACTAAATCTCGATTGTTTAAAGTATGTAGGTTTCTTATTACAGAGGTTTACTATACAAGATCGAATATTATACTGAAGGTTTCTTATTACAGAGGTTTTCTAGTATATATGTATTTAAGTTTTTATGAAGTGAAGTTTTTATTACGACTGGTTGAAGTATGTAGGTTTCTTATTACAGAGGTTTACTATACAAGATCGTGCTATATATTGTTACTGGCAAGTTTCAGTAAAAGTCATTGAAGAAAATAAAAATAGAGGTTTAAGATAAAAGTTCTTAAAAGGTGAGCACCAGACTATATAGTTGTCAACTGAAAAAGATAAAATATATTTATATAATAGGGTAATTTATACGACGAAATCAGATAAAAGTGGTATTCGAAGGAGTATAGTTAAATACGTAATGGAATAGCTACAATGCTGATTTTACAGAAGGAAATTACAAGCAATTATAATAAATACAAAATCACAAAGACTTAAAGTATTAAGACTTATTCAGATTAAGGTAAAGAACAAACTAATGATTTTATTAAATAATTTTATGGTCCTTTTATAAGAAAAGGACCAAAAAGCAGTCAAAAAAAATTTAAAAAAACTTAGGTCAGAACGACAAAAAGTGCCGTGTAACAATATTGAAGGTTTCTTGTTACAGATGTTTTCTAATATATAAATGAAAGAGAAGAAGAAAAAAGGAAGAAAAGAAGAAATAAAAAATAAAGAGCGATAAACGACTCTGAAGGAAATAAGTATTAAATTGAGATAAGAGAAGTCTGAATTTTATTATTTGAATTTTGGAAGGATATTTATATTTGTTATAAGGGCTTGTGTGACCACATATTGTTTTTGATAAGGGATTTAAAGGGTGTTACAAAGTCACAGACTGGATCTTTACATTATTTGTCTCTTTGAAGACCACTTGCTGATTTATAGTTTTAATGAAATTATTCATTTGGTCTTGATTTACCGTGCTATAAAATGAATAGAAATGTATTGCTCTTACTTTAGTAATTGGGAGAAATACAAATAATATAGAGAATTGAGTGGTGAATTAGTGCATGATAAGGCAAAATTACTTAACATAAAAGAGCTACATTAATGTTTTGCATCAGATAACAGTCAAAACTGTTCCCTTTAAGCCAATGTACGAACGGCAAAAAAATCTTAATTGATAATGTCTGAAATGCATTTCGTTTGGTAAATACCTTCTTCACAACATACAAAATTGATCTATGTAAAGTCAGGGAAAATTTAATTGTTGTTACATTTACTACATTTAAATTGTTCACGATACCACACCTAAAGCAAGCTTCTTCCTTTTTTTTTTTTAGGATAATATCTGTCTGATAAGAAAAAGCCGGGTTTTTATATTCATCTTGTTTTTTTCGTTTTTGTTTGTTTGATCAACAACATTAAATTGATTCAAGTTGTATTATATCTTTTCATAACCACAAAAAAAAAACAATTGAACTTTTTTTTTAGTAAGCTTGTCTATCATCCACGACTGTCACTAAGCTAGACCTCGGTCAATGTCTTTCCAGGGTTTTCACATCGCGATTTTAAAGGTATTTTGCCTCATGAAAATATGGAATAGTATTTTTGTTTAAACGATTAGCAGTCTAAATTATCCGGTCTCCAGTTTGAGACTGCTTGAGAATTCAGCTAGCCAAAAAAAAAAAAAAAAAAAAAAAAAAAAATAAAAAAAAAGCTCAATTTTTTTGGTTTGTTACATTATTCGTATTAAAATCTAGTCACTTTTCATCGCAAACTGTACGAGAAAGAGGTTACGTTTGATTGTATTTTTTTTCGATTATAGCTTTAAAGTATGTGAATGTCGCTTACGTAATCTTTTTGAAACTATTTCTTTTTAAATTGGCATCAGATGTTACAATATGAACAGAAGGTTGGACCTGTAATATATTCAGAACTGGGATAGTGCGGTTTTTATATCTTTTTTGGTCTGTGATACTCGTCAAGCTGTCGAAACAGCTAGACATTTAAACAGCGACTACGCCTATCTTCCTATGCAGGATGACTTTAAAGTGCGGCTTAAGTCATAGTCATGAATGTACCCAGAATTTGTAATAACGCCGTTTACATTTTGTAAATGTGTTGCACAGAGGAACACTGGTTAAACAATGTACTCACGAAAATAAAATTATTTGTTACACTAAAAAATGGAGCCACTGTTTAGCTAATGTAGCTCAGTTTTTGAAAACGAGTGTATTTCTGTTCATACAGCTTGTTTTTACAACGAATTCCTGCTAACTGGTTCACCTTAGAAATAAATAAAATTTTGACGTTTTTTTGCGTAACAAATGTATTGGAGAAAGACGGTATTTGTTGCAAGATACAGTTAAGTATACGACATAAATGGGTTGCTTCATAATCATACTACTTTATGATACAGCACTCTAATAATTAAATACGTCATGTGCCAGGTACGTAAACTGGTTCATCTCAATTTTTCCGCTTTACGACAACATCATATCTACGTGACTTTGTGATTTTAGACAGAAGTAGATCATTTTTTTATTTGTGTACTAAACAAATTGTGAATGCTCTTGATTCTCTGACGGCATTGATGTTCTCAGTTTGTGAGACGTAATGCTTATGTGATACGGTAGTTTCTCGATTTAGAAATATTTGAAAAACACGCTCTGCACTAGGCTTTAGCGCCAATAAACTATTTTCCTTAAGGATCAGATTCCGGTTCCACGTACCATTATATCAAACGGGGTTGTACCATTTTCGGGTGTTTTTATCGGTATTCCT